TCAAAACATACGAAGGATGGCACATCTGTGGTCGGGATCTTTTTGGAGCTCTGTCTGTCAGGGTGGATCTGTCTCAGTTTCCCAGGCATACACACCAACTGCCTCACAGACACTGCCATATTGCAGCAGCAGCGATGCCGAAAGCTGGGAGGACTCCAAGGCAGCACAGAACAGCTCTGTGTCAACTCCAATCCTTTCTGCCTCCCTGCTCCACACTAACAGCATCCTCTCAACGCACAGGCCGAGGCACCCACACCATCCTTTAGGTACAACTGCTCCTGGGCATGGGAGCGTGCTTCCTCGGAGAACAATTATGAAATTGTAATAAAGTGCTTTAAAATGGAAATTCTTCCCTTTGATTCCCATCTCAGGCGCTGCCCCTCTCAGCCTGGAGCCTCCTGTGCTGCTTGACTGTTGGGTTTGTGTCCCGCCTGCCTGGAGGAATTGGGGAGGGAGTTGGGAAGGTGCTGGCTGGGGCCAGGAGCCATCTCGCAGCAGAGACATCTGTTCTGCAGCAGCAATCGAGACGCCCGAGAGCTGCAAACATGTCCAGGAGTTACTTTTATCATTGACAAGGGGGAGAATTTAAATAGCTGCCATGCTCTGGAGCTAAGCCGGAGACAGAACTGTGGATCATGCTTTATGTAACTCATTTTTATTTTTAAACAGAACCTTTTATTTTCAAGGGGAGCTCAACTCAGTGGGTGTCTCCTATCTCCTGCCCTGCCTCGTTAGCACTTGAGAGGTGGCTTCTTTTATCATCTCCTATCTAGTCTATCAGCTGCTTGGTTTCCTCACCTACTCAAGCTCTCCTTGTCTCACCTTTCAGGATTTCCTGCTTGCCTGGCCTGATGTGGAGAATGATTTGAGGTTTAAGGTGAACAGCAAAATTAACCCCTTAAAATATTCTGAGCTATATCTGTAGATGTTTCCTGATGTTACTGGAGCTACTTTTTAGGAGAGGGAGCTATTCTCAGGATTCTCATCATGAGTAAGACAAGTCAGTAATTTCAGAATCCCAGAATTACCCAGATTGGAAAAACCCTTTAAGATCACTGAGTCCAATCATGAACCCAACACTGACAAGTCCCCGACTAACCCATGTCCCTCAGCACTATGTCTACATGACTCTTCAATCCCTCCAGGGATGGGGACTCCCCCACTGCTCTGGGCAACCCCTTCCAATGCCTGAAGATTTGTTTTGCAGTGTAGGAAGCTATCCATGTCAGTCGTAATTCCCTCCTGCCAAGACAGTCACCTTGTGCTGGACCAAAGGTGTTCTCCCCTGGACCCTCAAGCAAGCAGGCAGGCAGCCTGGCACAGTCAGCAGAGCATTGCATGTCAGATGTCTGTTACTAACAATTTTCTTTCAGCTTTAATTACAAACAGTGGTAGAGAAGAGCAAGCTCTGGAGATAAATTAATTACTAATTTGAATTAGTAATTATTTGGGGTTGGAGCCATATAGGTACCTGTCTGGATTTTGAATGTGCTGGAGGAGGTTAGATGACTCTTCATGTTCATGAGATATTTGCTAGGTTTGTCACTTCAGGTCAAGGGTGGTTGTTTCTTCCAATCCTCCAGCAAAACACCAAAGCCCCCTTGGGTCACAGCAGAAGTGGACCAGTGGACCTCCAGTGGGCTGGAGGCTTGTGGTTGAGCCCAACTATGAGCTTTACAGTGTGTAGGTCACCTGAATTCCCAAAGCAGTGACTACTGTGGGAGGCAGCCGGCCCCATGTAATTGGCATTTTGCAGTCTCAGAGTTTACATCACCAAGCATCTTCCAGAGAGATCACAGAGGCAACACATGAAACGTACCAAAGAATTACTTCAGCTGCAGGGATGTAACTGCCAAACATCACAGCAGTCTGAAGAAGCACTTTCTTGGTGCTAGGGGGAAAAAAACCTCTTGAACTAGCAAGTCATGAGGCGCACCCTCAAACAAGCTCCTTGCAACATGATACTAGAAGAGAGATGCTGGCATAGACTCAGGAAAAGTCACAAAGTAAGAGTGAACGCAACCCCAAAGAAGTTCAAAGCCCTGGTGGCGTGGATCACTAGAAATATGACAAGGCCATGAAGTCAGAAATGAGAAGTGGAAGCGACAGCGGCAGGCTCAGTGTGACGGCTCGTTAAGCATAAAATAATGGAATCCCAGCGCAGCAGCAGCCCCCCGAGGAAACAGAGCAAGAGTGAGAAGATAGGGAGAAGCCTGCTTAAATGCCAAGGTGAAGGAGCTTATTTAAGGCAAACCCACTGGAGATGTCAGCCAAGCAAATGAGATAGTCAGTCAGTGTAGGCATCCTCTGATCTTTCAGCTCCAAAGTGAGAAGGGTGGTCAGCTACCAGCCCTGGGAGGAGCATCCCTGTCTCTGGAGAGACAAAAGCCACACAACTACCAGCCAGAGCTGCTATCCTGGTTGGGATGGATGTGTGAGGGCAACTGTACTGGAAGGAACAGATGTCTTCAGGCCACACAATTTTGTCTAGCAGTTGGTTGGCAAAACCGGGGACCAAGTGAACTGGTGGAGTTGTTGGGTAAAAACCACTTGAATGATGATTAACGGACAAAACACATGGAACAGGTAGGGAGGTACTTAAAATAACAGGGAGGGTGAAAACAACCCTGGAGATGATGGAAAGAAGATTAACGTCCAGGGAAACAGGCTGGCAAATTCCCTTCCACCCTGTCCAGTGACAGCCAACAAGCCAACGCTGCACATGTTCACCGCTTGTGTGTTTGCTGTTAGCAGGTCATGAGGAAATTGCTTTAAAGTATTTCTTGGAGAGATTGAAAATGTTGGATGGGATTCAAGCCTAATATCAAAATGAGTTATTTTATTAAAAGCTTTTAAATAGAAGCTACAGAGTAGTCAGAAAAAGAAGGGCTATTTTAGAAGGAATTTGTTATAAACCTCTTCTACTGCACAGAAGCTTTCTAAAATATTACCCTGTAAAAATATAATTCTCTTTATCTGCAATTTAATTACATTTCCCATAGTGCCTGTGTCAACACAGTTCACTTCATTTTGTTCTCTATTAACTCACACCTGGCCTGGGAAACTAGAAGAGAAAACTGTTGATATTTAGAGTTGTTTGTGGGTTGCTCCAGGGTCTCACTGGCGTCACGAAAAGGGTGTACTGATGTACTGGAGAAATAGGGACTGGGATCTCTGTCCATACTGGTGATGGCTATGAGATGGCAGTATATAAAACTGCTATAAAAGCAGGAGGAGGAGTAGGAGTGCTCACGTAGTCCTCTGATCTATCCCATCCAGCGTCAGTGGGCTAGAGTTTGGGATCTGTTTGAGACTGCAACAAGGTACCTGAATAATGGACCAGAACTATCTGTTGTGGATGGAACATTTTGTTGACCTCCTCCACCTCACATCTGTGTGTGTAAATGAGATCTGAGGGATGTCCTGGAAGTATTAGGAAAATGTTGTCACTTGTGACATCCTGTGGGTGCCCAGAGAGAACGTGGAATTGTGGGAATGCATTAAAAAAAAAAGACATGTTAGAAATCAAACCTTTGGTGGTGATGTATTAAATTTGGCTTGGGTTTGGGGCAAGGGCTGAAGCTGACTGTTATTTAAGTTGAACAAACCAGCCTGTCGTACCAGAGGCGTAAGATAAACCTCAACCTTTGACCTTGGCTGAGAGGAGATTGTATCAGCAGTGGCATTTTTTTTTTTTCAGTGCTTGTCTTCTGATAACTGGAGACACTATTAATCTGAGTCAGGATGACCTGGGCTTTGCAGTGGGGATGAGAACAAGGCAAACATTTCCATGCCAAGCTGAGCTGTGAAAGAGGAGATCCAAGATGACAGAGAGCTGGGATCGCTGCTACAGTTCTACTAAGCCCTGTATTTTTGTAGTAAGTTTAGCAGGACTGTGTCTCTCCCCAGAGATGTTGCGTGGTGATAATGTGCTATCTCAAGACACGCTTCCTGCTAGTAGCACCAGGATGTTGGACCCAGCAGTGTTTTAGCAGAGGAGTGGCAGGTGACTACGAGTTTCCAGGAAAAAATGTAATGACTTGTTTAACTGCAGAAGACTTTTATATATACATATACATATACATATATGTATATATATTTTTGGTCAATCAACTTTGTCAGGATCACAAAAGCCATAGAGATCCCATAGCTTGAGCTCTCAGTGAGTCAATGACCCACATCAGTACTTGTGCAGCCTGTGTGGCACTCAGATGTGGTTATTGATGGTGGGGGGCTGTGGGTTAGGTGGTTGTTAGAGTCATTGGGGTGCACTGGACCCCCATATCCATCCTCTGGAGGATAGAGGTGTGGGTGCAGGTGAAAAAAATGGAATTGGAGCTGGTACCATGGGGGGGTGCCCTGAGGGAGGTGGCAGGGAGCCTGCAGGGCTG